ATCAAATAAAAATTTTTTTAAATGTATTAATTATTATAAATAATTATAAATATCTCTTTTTTTAAAAAATTTTCTATAAATAATAAATAAAAAATATTTATTAAATTAAATAATAAAATAAAATTACAATAAATAAAATAAAGTATAATATAAAACAGAATAAAATAACAAAAATAAATAAAATTACTAATAATAATTAATTATTAATTATTATTAATAAAAGATAAAAATTAATGGTTGATTAATAAGTTTTGAACGTTCTAATGAACGAAAATTTTTGCCGCGATATTAATATTTTTCTAAATTTCCGACTACAATAAAAAGCAAAAAAAAAAAAAAAAAAAAAATCGGAACTTTATATTTTATTTTTTTGTTCCTTGTCGCAAAATTTTTTTAAAAAATCTGAATTTGAAGAAAAAATTTAAATACGTTTCTATCATTTAATTTGAATGATAATTTGAATTTGGAGAAAAAATAATTAAGTTTCGTTCATTTAATTAAACGTTCAAAACATTAAGGGTTTATTAAGGATTTGAAATAAACATAAATTTGTGAAAATCTTAATTTTTAAAAGTTTTCCAAATGCCGTTGAATATTTTTTATTATAATTAGTTACTTTAATAATTTTTAGATTCATCATTTTCATAAAAATAAAAATTAAAGTGAAAATTACAATTAAAATTAAAATTAAATTTAAATTTATATTTCGAAAGTACAGCGTTTGGAGAAATTCTTTGAAAAAAATTAAGATTTCTTCACATTGTTTTCTTTTGTTTTTTTGATATAACAGAAAAAATTTCTTATTTTTTAAATAAAATGGACAATGCGTTATTTACAATATCATATTTATAAGGACGTTGATAAAAGACATTTAAGTTCGTACATACGTTTCTTTTTTTTTTTAATCGAGAGTTGCTTTTTTATTGTACGTACGAAGCAGTGATGAACATTTTTTTTTAATCTTCATTCAATTTGAACTGATTTTTTTTTTTTTTTTGAAACCGTACAATAAATAAAACGAAAGCGCTCGTGGATATAAATTTGCTCATTTATCTCGTTAGTAACATTTTCGTTATTTTGTACGCGTAAGTATAAACGTTTATTGAGAGTTTGAGGAAATCGAAAAACTGGATTTCTTTTATTTATATCTTCGACTTGAAATATTAATTGTCTGCGTCTAGAAATTCTTTTTTTTTTTAATTAGTAGCTTTAATCATTCACATTTTTCGTTTCGATTTACAATTAATTTCGAAAATTGTATCTTGTGCATGAACACAAAGCAATATATTTAGTTAACGGAACGAAATTTTTCTACGTATTTTATTCTTTTTTTCGCGCATTTATGTTATTTTTTTTTATACAAAATTTGCGCTCGGGAAATTGGCCTGCTAAATTATAGACTTCTTTTTTTTTCAAGTAACGGAAATAATTTATCAAAATATCTTGGCACCGAAATTATTTTATAAATCCTAATTTTTTTGTTTGGATTGTCGACAAAATGAACACTTTTTAATTTTTTTTTAATTATAAATTTAATTAATTGATTTTTGATAATGTAATTAAATTTAAATTTTTGAGAATAAAGCCGCGCAAATTTTAACAATTTTTTCGAAGGAAAAAAATAGCGGCCATTTCCGGTATTTTTTTTTGTGAGGATCGAAAAAAATATTAATTTCTAAGAGGAATATTTATGAAAATGCGATAAAAACACTATTTTCTTTTAAGGCGTTTTTTTCTCTTAAAGAAAATTTTATTTAGCAAGCCTTTTAAAGGGAATGAGTGCCAAAACGCGGAGTCTGAAAATCAGAAAAGTATCTCGCGTTTCTTGAGAATCCTTTTCTCCTTCGATCGCAGACTCCTAGAGTAAGGCCGAGTAAGGATTCACAACCATTCTAGATGTATTGGGCCGCAACGTAATATTTCCGACTCCCAAAACGACCAAGTTCATTTTTATTTTTTTATTTTTTTTTTTTTTTGTAAAGTATACTTTTAATTAAGGAAATCTGTCAGTGAATTAATTTTTTTAACTCGAATACTAACAAAAAGTGAACTTTATTATTTTTTTTTGGCATAAAATAAAAATTTTCTTAAAGAATTAATTTTCATTTTTTAATTTAAAAAAAAAATTTTTTTTAATTTTATGTTTTTTAGAAAAATTCATTTTTTGTTTTGAATATTAGGGAACAATTTTGTTTTGATTGGAAAAATTACTTTTTGTTTTGAATATTATTCAGAAAACAATTTTTATTTTTTGATAAAATCATTTTTTATTTTGAATATTCAAAACAAAAAATGATTCTATCAAAAAATACAATATTGTTCTAATTTTGGTTTCTTTCGAAAAAAAATTATTTTGAATATTATTCAGAAAACAATTTTTATTTTTTTAAAAAATCGTTTTTTGTTTTTAATTATAGAAAAATTTTCATTTATAAAAATTTTATTTAAGAACAATTTTTAATTAAGAAAATATTTTTAGAGATCAATTTTTAATAATGAAAATCTTTTTAGAGAACAATTTTTCTATGAACAAATTTTTTGTGACAAATTTTTAATTATAAAAATATTTTTAGATAAAAATTGCTAATTATGAAAGTTGTTTTCAAATGATCCACAAGTTTTGAATATTTAAATGGACGAAATTTGTTATTAAATATATTTTCATAAATTACTGACTGCAAAAAAATTTGAAAAGTTAAATTTTACATTTCGAAACTTTATATAATTAACTTTTTTGGTTGTGATAAAAAAGTATTGAAATAAAAATTTAATTTGGAGAGGATGGAATGAATTTCGCATTTATTTGAACATTCAGAACTTTATGTTTTTGAGAACAATTTTTCATTGTAAAAAATATATTTTAAATAATTTTTCTCGAAAAATTTCTTTTTAGAGAATTTTTTACAGATGGGAAATTTCTTTTTAGAGAATTTTTCACAGATGGAAAATTTCTTTTTAAATCATTTTTCACAGATGAAAAATTTCTTTTTTGATAATTTTTCATTTTTTGCAAATTTTTTTCCCATAACAAAAAGTATATTTTATAACATACACGTTTTTCGTAAATCGTTGGCAGTTTTGAAAAAAGGAAGATCACGCGATAAAGCCCATCGAAGAATGAACTTAAATTTAATTATCTACATTATCGTGGTACTCTATATATGTATATGTATATTATACCATAGATAACCACGGTGCCACAGCACCCAAGTACAAAAATCGTAACAATTTCATATACATTTATATATATGTATATTTATATATCAATATATATCTTTTATATATTTATATACATATACATATTTCAATAATGCTTAATAATATTCACAGGCAGAGTTTATGCCTACATTATTATTTTTATTATCCTATTAATTTTATTTCTTTTTATTAAATTATAAAAAAAGAGCCTTTTTCTTAGGACTCGACGAGAAAAACTATTATTATGATAATCAGGGCACTTGATTTTGAAAAATTTATTAAAAGCAAAAATAACGATGCTTATTATGTAATGAGTGAAAAATAGAAATTAAAAATTTGCGATGAAAAAACAGCAAATTTTTGTAATGTAAAATTTTTTTTTTACGAATAATCGACTTATATATTTACTTAGGACTATATAAAACTAGTAGTTTTAATTAATAGTAGTATTATTAATATTAATATTATTATTATAACAACGGATGCTGTAGCGTAAAATTATGAAGTTTCTCCTTCTTTTTCTTAAAAATTACATTCGAACTTTTCATAGAAAAGCGCAAAAAAAAAATTATTTTATCGTAAATTTACAATTACGGGTACGTTTTTTTTCGAAATACTGATAGATGATTGAGTCTGTTAGCCACGAAGACTCGAGTCATTTTTAATCCGTTAATTAGTTTTTTGCGTATCGTACAAAATGTGTTTTTATTAATATGTACAATTCGATTTTATTGATTTGAGTCTTTGTTTTTTTACAAATGTTTTCCATTAAATTCTTTTTTTTCCCTTCTTTTTAAGAGTTGAAAGAAAATTTCCCTGAAAGTTAGCGTTGGAAATGTCACTAATTTCACCTTTTTTATTTAACTATGAAGTTAACAATTTTTCATTGCAATTTTTTAAGTTAAATCTTTTTGTTTGACATTTTTTTTTCTTTTCGTTTTTGTCGGAAAAAATTATTTTCGACACTAATTTCAGGGACTTTAAAAAAAAGACTTATTCAGAGTAAATTTTTTCATAAATAATTTCAAAATTTGGAAAAAAGTATTAATTTTTTGTTTTAAAAATTATTTTAAGTATTTAATTTAATTATTAAATTTTATTTATTGGCTAGTAATGGAAAACTCTGGGAAACATTCGACTTAAATCTTACACTTTCTTTTGAAATTTGTAGGCGTGTTTTGTTTATAATTATAATAATTATTTATATATATTTATGTTCAAGTCTGATAAAAGAGAAGCTTTTCTAGATTTTTTTTTATTAGTTTTAAAAAGTATATTAGTGAATTCTCGAAAATTTGAAACTGGGAAATATCAAACTAATTGAGAGAGCATGCAAAGAAATTTATAATTCTATTCTGCTATATAATTAGATTGATTTTGCTAATTAGATTTTGGTTCGGCTAATTAGATTGAATTGTTTAATAATTCATGCATTATTGGGAAAGAGTTTTTAATATGTTTAAAAAAATTTTTTATTCGATAAAAAGCTTCTATTACGAAAATGAATTAATTAGAATTTCAATTTTTAGTATTAGGATTTTTTATTAAAAAAAATAATTTTATTCTATTAAATTGAAATTATTATTTATTAAATTATTCATTAGAGTGAAAATGTTATTTAATTGAAACGAGTAATAAACTATTGAATTTATTATTAATTTTTTATTTATTTATTATTATTATAAAAATTAATAATAATTAATAATAATTAATAATTATTAATAATGATTAATAATTATTAATAATAGTTAATAATTATTAATAATAATTAATAAAATAATTAATATTACAATTTTGAGAGTATTAATTAATGGAGATTTTAATTAAAAACTTCTTTATTATCAGCGAAATTCGATCGTATTTTTTTATGCAGATATTTAAAAAAAATTATGTCCAATAATTGCGTTTGAGAAGTAGCTTTAAAAGAGATAGAAAATTTTTCTGGTCTTGTGACGTGTTTGGAGAAAATTCGCGATAAATAATAATTTACATAATTACTGATTGTCAGCAGTGTATGAAACAGCCGCGAGGAAGCTATACGATCTTTTTTTTTTCTTTTTCTTTTTATAAGTTTGTCTACAGGAAGCGTCGCTATTTGCGAGCCAATTATTATTTTTATTAGAATTAAAATTTATAATGTTTGAAAAGAAAATTTTCTTTTTTGTTTCGAAATTAGTAGAACTTCTTTCGGGGTCACTCCCTCGATAAGGAGTGAGCCCGAGGTAACAGTCAGTATTCTTCCTCGTCTTCTTCGAATTCATCCTCCTCCAAAATGCTGTCAAATAGGTTAGATAGAAAGAGAAAAAAATTTTTTTTTTATTAAACAACTGATAAAATTAACGAAAAAATAATGAAAAATTACTTTCATTTCTTTTTTAGTCATTATTCTCAAGAAAAAAAATTTATTTGACTATTTTTTACTTTCGAATTAGTGAATTTCACTAATAATTCAGTAGAAATTACTATTTATAAGTAAAATTTACTTTTTACTTTCGAATTAGTAAATTTTACTAATAAATAGTAATTTCTACTGATTTATTAGTAAAATTTACTTTTTACTTTCGAATTAGTAAATTTTACTAATAAATAGTAATTTCTACAAATAAATAGTAATTTCTACTAATTTATTAGTAAAATATACTAATTCGAAAGAAAAAAGTAAATTTGACTAATAAATAGTAATTTCTACTAATTTATTAATAAAATTTATTAATTCGAGAAGTAAAAAGGCAGTCACTAATTAAAATTAATAGAATTTTCACTAATTCAAATTTAGAGTGAATTTACCTTTTTAAATTTGAAGTTTCGTAAAATTTGAAAATAATTTTTTCTGTGTAAATTCTCTTGTTGAGTGTGGAGCCTTTTTTTGTTTTTTTTTTTTGGTTTTTGAAGTAAAAGAAAGGAAAGTAATTTTTGTAAAACAAAAAAAAAATAATCTAGCCACACGGGGCACTTTATACATACACGTTACTTACTCTTCCTTCCTGTCGTACTTTTCGAGGAGATTTCTTCCTGGACTTCCGCAAGTCTTTCTAATTGGTGGACAATACCAAAAGCAAAGAACACCCAATGAAACACCAAATAATATTACAGGCACTGTTAAAGCCAATACTAAATGCTTTAAATTATCATCCCAAGAATATCTAAAATACAAAAATTTTATTTTTACTTATTTTTTATTTTATTTATTGCATATTTTATTATTTTACTACTTTTATTTTCAATTTTTGCTTTAAACTTATTTTTCAAATTTCTATTTTCTATTTTTACTTTCTGTTTACTGTAAACTTATTTTATTTTTATATTTACTTATTTTATATTTACTTTAAACGAATTTTGAAGAATTAATACTGTAAAAATGGGGGAGTAACTTTGTTAGGGGATGGAGAATTTATTTTTACAATAAATAAATTAAATTTGTTATTTTCTGAATTATAGATTGTGTTTTAGTTGCATTGAATTAGAAATTATTTACCTTGCCACAACAGTTTGTGGATTGGTCCTGCTAAAGTAACAAGGAAATATTTTTCCTCTATTATTCTTGTATCCATATTTTTTCGCAAATACGGAACAATTAACTCTCGGTGGATATCCACATCCTTCTGTATTGACAAAAAATTTCGTATCAGCAATACTCCATTCCCTCTCAGACACTGGCACTGTCTTAAATTCCTCAAAATTCAATTTCGAGTAGTTCACTTTAATTTGATGACAACGGAGAGCAGCACTCGTGCAGCCTATTGTTATAATTTATTAATTACTCGTCGTGTTATTTTACTAATTGTTAGTCATTTTCAAGGAGGATTTTTTCCAATTTTTATTAGTTATATTTTTTTGTTATTAGTTTTTTAATATGATAAATTGTTGGTTAAATTTAACTAATTTTCTTTTTAAAATTTAGACAGAATAGAAAAAAAAAAATATTTGGGAATAAATGAATTTTTACTCGTAATTTTTACCTTCTCTGCAACTTGACCAGGAACAATTTTTAAGTCCCTCGGCGTAGGTGTGATCGGTGACCATGCAGGCCACTGGATCTTGTGTATAATCAGCGAGAATTGTCGTTATCGCTGGTTCAATGACAAATGGTACAAGAAAGAGAAATGCAAAAACAGATAAACAGGCAGTTGTGCCCAGGCATAATGATGTATAAAATTTGGCTTTCTCCACTAGGGATTGAATTTCAACTGCAGGAAGTATAGCTCCACTTCCTGCATTTAAGACACTTGATCTACTTGATTTAAGGTCCTCCTCCTCTTCCTCCTGAGCACCCATTATCACCGTTGACTCGTCCGAATCAATGATGATGCCAGTTCAAAATCACCTGACAAATTGTATTTACAAAAATTTTCCTTTTCTTCTCTTTCTCCAAAATTCTTGTCCTTAATCCATATGTAATTTTTCCAGTGTTTTGTTTTTGTACTGCTAGTATTTTTTTCGATATTAATCAAGTATTTTCAATATTACATTCTCAGTAGAGTGAAAAAGTATTTTAGAGCATTTAGAGAAAGTCGAATTTTTGAATATGGAAATTTAGAATTTTCGATAGTTTTTGTACAATATAGATACTGTTTTAAATAATAGAAGTTGCTTCTTAAATAATAGAAGTTGCTTCTTTTGTTAATTTTTTTTGCAAATATTTCTTTTGATGTTACAAGCAAGGCAATACTGTCTGTCACCGGGGGATAGTACTTTCAAACTTAAAATGGTCCACACACCAACTGATGTCACACGTTGACAATTATTAAATTGCTTCCTTATAATTCTAGACTCGAAAAAGCCAACAAACAACTTTCCCAAAGTAGTTTTTTTTGTGTATTAAATAAAAGAAAGAAAATTAGTTTCGATCTTTGAATTTTTTCTTTTTAAAGAGACTTGGTTCAATCATCTGTCAGTTATTAGGCCTAAAGCATACAACTAGTTATTTTTATTTAATTCTTGTCTATTTGTTGTTATTCATTATTATAATCTATTCCTTAATTAAGTGATGGATTATTTTTTCCAAAATTTATTTCCAATATTTGGATATCATTTAGTTCATTTAGATCATTTAGATCATTTAGATCATTTAGTTCTAATTATCACTGCATTCTACATTTTTTTAGCCAAAAAGAAAAAGTGCGAACAAATTTGATTTTTCTTCTTCTTCACCAAATGATGATTGATGATGATATTGAGCTATGCTTCGTACGTTTTTTTTTGGTCGCAATATAATTTTTTTTAAGTCTTAAAGCTATTATTAATACAGATTTGAAAAAAATCTGTCAAGTTTCTCTCTTTTGTTGTTTGGGTTGGTTTTGTCTTTTTCTTTCCCTTTTTGTTTCTTTCTGTCCTTTGGTGTTATTTCTGGTCCTTTTTTTTCTGTTTTTGTTGTTTTGAATTAGCTTCAGCTTTAAATTGTGTGCGGGCAGTGCGAGTAGAAAAATCTTAGTAGAGACTTTTTGCTTGCGTTATTAATCTAATCGTGTTATTAATTAAGAATTTGAACCACGCGTTCCCCTCCCTTCTTTACACTTTAATAATGGCCGCGTAGAGAGAAAACCGGCGGTCTTGCCGGACTCTCCTCCAGGAGGGGAATGCCTGCAAAAGAAAATTGAACATTATACATTTATTTATGGTTTATTGTCACTATTTCTTTTTTAATGATTTGTTTTAAACGGTTATTATTGAAAAAAGAAGAAAAAAAATGCGAGGTTAGGTTTCGTTTTAACAATCGGCAATATTTTTAGTGTTTTAATGTTTGGTTGATATTTTTGACATCGGTTGGTACTTTAAAAGGTTCTATTATTATTTTTGATGTTTGTTTGGTTGGGTTATGTCAACAACAGGCTCTTTTTATGTCCTTACATTGAACATAACAAAAGTACAAAGAAATCTATTAAATCTGTTGTAATTTTTATGTTATGTTCAATATAGGAACATAAAGAGAGCCTATTGTGGACATAGCCACTTATGTTCAACATAAGAACGCAAAAAGAATCTATGGACAGCACCTAATATTGTTGATGTTTGATCAATATTTTTCAGTAAATTTGAAAACAAAATGCTATACATTTCGTTTTTAAGAATAAAAATCAGTTTTTAGAACAAAAGAGTAAAAGAGGAAAATCGAGAGAGGGAGAGATCTTACGTGACGGATCTCAGAGTGCCATGACTGAATCTCCTCCCCCGGCATCGCCAATATTTCCAGAGATGCTTTTCTCAATGGCCATTGCTGTTATAGCGCCGGAAGTGCCCTTGAACCTCATTTTAGCATCGTCACCAACAATGACAGTGCGTTGACAAAGAATTAACGTGAGACAGCTGACCACAAATAAAACGCTGGGCAGCACTAAGGCAACAACAAACTCCTTTTGCGTTGTATCCAAATCAAATCTCGATACGACAACTTCCTTTTTATTTTCCGCATAAAAACATGGGAATCTTGCCCTTGCATTATGATCCGATCCATCCTTACCATAATCCATTAAAAATGCCTTACACTCATCCCTCAATGTATTGACACAACCCTCCAAATTAATCAACAATCTACTCTCATTAGCAATAATAAGATCCTGTTCAGGTGGCAGGACCTTCCTCGTCTCATCCAATGGTTTCGTGGCAAATATATTTAAATACGATAAATAGGTGAAATTCGTCAAATCAGTGAGCTGATCCTTCTCCAATACTGAACCATTAATACAATCAACTGCCTGAACACCGAGACTACTATTAAAAACCCCATAACAACTTGCCATCATCACATCACCACGATTCTCATTCCATATCTCTTTTCCTGTCTCTTCCTCAAATACACTTTCACATTGACTCAAATAAACTTTATCGCCACTTAGTAAAATCATATTTTTATTTCTCGTCGGTATATCGACACAACGACGATCACAATTGTAGGGTGTCCGAATTTTTTCACAACTACCACGACTACATGTGAATAGACCGTCAATGTCAATGCATGTGATTTTACCCCGTCTACCTGAACACTTGAGCGGTGGATCTGTGTCGCGAAACATACATTCAAATGCATCGGTTATGTTGATGCAAACACCGAGTGTACAATTGAATGTACCTGTTAAATTACGACATTCGTCGGCGATGCACTTTGATTTTTTGGCCGCCTCCTGATCGATGCCGTAGCATGTTTTATTTGTTGTATTAGTGCAATTCGCAAGGAGGATGGTGGTGCCATTTTGTCGTAAATTGACATGTATTTGAACACATGGACCCGATGTTTTTGATAAACACCATTCACCGCAACTTCCCCAATCGCAATTATCAGCATTGACAGCCCTCGTGGTGGTGCACATGACGGGCACGTCACTTATACCGGAGACAAATGCACGAGTGAATGGCATATAAATGGCAACTGTCAAATAGACCAAGGCAACGGATGATAGAACGGCAGTCATCTGACACATGCAGATGGTACCGCATATTCTCCCATCCTGAGGCGGTATCACTAGGTCCTCGACAGGAATTTGTTTTCCCATATCATCCAGAAGAAATGGTGGACTTTAATTTTTTGTTTTGTTGATGATGAAACAATTTTTATTCGTGCTTTTATTTCACATCACGTTTTTGAGTGGGATTTCTTCTTCCTTTCTATCCCTTTTTTTTTGATGTTTTTCTCTTGTGATGATCCCTGATTTTTTTTTCCTTTTGATAAAACACTAGGACTCGGTCCTTGGAATTTTGATCCAGGACGAGTCCACCAGCGCGAGGTACGGTTTCCCTCGACCTGTGGTCCTTGTGCGCTGACGGCCCTTACAATGGGAAGTCGCGCAGAAATCGATAATGAAGCTTGCGCAGTTCAAGCCGCAACTATGCTTTTTATAGTGGTGCAATGACGTCAGTGGTGATCTCACTACCAACCTATGGTAGGTCATTTCTGAGGAGGTTTCCCGGTTAAACTACTGTATCGATGACCTTACTTGAAATTCTTTAGCTTATGGCATACTTTGTAGAGTCGGGAGGGGAAAAAAGTTATCTTTTGCGCTCTCTATGTTTGGCTTTTGTTAATTAGGTTCATGGTAGGTAATTGCTCTCTTAATGTTAATAGAGAAGGTATATTTATTCAAAACTATTTTATTCTTTTTTCTATTATTTATTAATTTTTATTATTTATATACTGGAAAAAAATTCTCAATTCTAAACTCTCCAAATGACAATTTTTTTCAGAGTATCAAATTGATACCAATGTGGATCAAATTGATTCCGAAAAATTGGGTCAATTTTTTATTTGATCCGCATTTTTTGGTATCAATTCGTTGTAATTTGATACTTTTAAGCTAACAGTGATTTGAATCAGTTAAAAGTAACTTCAGTTTAGAACAGGGAAGTAAGGGAACTCACTTTCTAAATTTAAATCAGTTAAAAATCATGTTTTTAAATGACAATCAGTGACTGATTTTTTGCTTCTGAATCAGTTAAAAATAACTGATTTTCAGTGGAAAAATGACTGATTTTCAGTAAAAAAAGAAACTTAAAATTTAGTTAAACTTGACTAATTGAATCAGTTAAAAAAAATTTACTGGAACGTCAGTTATTTTTTACTGACAATTAATTATTTTTAACTAAATATCAGTAGAAATATTACTATTAAAATTAATAACTGAATTTTTTATTCTTAATCAGTTATTTTTAACTGATTCAAATTTAGAGAGCAGGGAAAAGTCAGGGAAAATAGAATTGGTCAGAGAAATCAGGGAAAAGTCAGAAATTTTTAATAAAGACACTGGTAAAAATTAAATGTTTAGAATTCGTAAGAAAATTCTGAATTTTTGTGCCTTTTTTATTTGTCTCATAAACTATGAAATTACCACGAATTCTAATACGAAACCTTCAATTTTTTCAACTTCAACAATAATTTCTTTTTAAATAACTTAATTCTTGAAGAACTGTCATAAAATTATTATTCACAAATTATTTAATGTATAAATTTACTTAAAAATTTCAAAATTAATTGAATTTTAAAAACGTTGTAATGTTTACAATTTTTATAAATAAATGAACTTCAAAAGGTTTTAATTTGAAATTTTAAAAAATTTCAATTTCAAATGAATTTAATTAAAACACTAAAAGAAATTGAAACTTGGAGAAATTATACAAATTATTGCAGAAATTCAATTATTTTAAAAATTAATAAAATTCTTTGTAGAAATTCAATTATGATCAAAAATTTTTTTTAAAAATTGTAAAAATTTAAATTATCTTTATTATAAATAATAAAATTCTTCTTCGAAATTTAATTATTTTCAAAAATTTATAATAAAGTTCTTGGCAAAATTTCAA